AACTTATCATTCATAAATAATAAAAAAAATAAAATTTCCAAGAAATTCCACCAAAGAGAATTCCACGTGGAGCCCAAGTCATCAAAACACTGAACTCGGTAAAAAGCTCAGAACCCTAACCCAAACAAAGAATATCTGGAGGCCCAAGGCCCAACCCGCCCAACAACCCTCACTGATCGACAGAGTACTTCGGTCACTTCACTCCCCTCTTATCCCGTCTCATCTCATCTCATCTCATCTCCGATCTTCTCCCTGCTTCCGATTTCCGTGCTCCGACGCTTATCCATGTCGACTCAAGGTCAGGTCATCACTTGCAAAGGTAATCTCCTCTTCTCTCTCTCTCTCTCTCTCCACTGTTGTTCAAAACATTGGTGTGAGCGATCGTGATTCTGACGGTTGTGCAAAAAATGGAATTGTGAAGCTGCGGTGGCTTGGGAGCCGAACAAGCCGCTGGTAATTGAGGACGTTCACGTGGCTCCGCCGCAGGCTGGTGAGGTTCGAGTCAAGATTCTCTTCACGGCTTTGTGTCATACTGATGCCTACACTTGGAGTGGAAAGGTATATACTCTTGAATCTTCATTGTTCGTTTGACTCTTTTCAACAAATTTTGGGATCTCTAGCGTTTGGTTGGATGCCGTGTGCTCTGTTGTTAAATTGCTAATGATATTTTGCGGCTGTGCATTTCTGTCTTATAGTTTAATGGAAGATCCAGGAGGAGGTTATTAGGATGAGTAAATTACTCCCATGCTATGGCTGTATGGTATTCTTTCCAGTTCTATACTAATTAACAATATAAAGTTCTGAATTTCAATTTACTTGAATGGTTTCTTTAAATGGCCCTTTTGCTGATAAGGAATTCCTATATAGAATCTGTAATATACTTGCTCGGTATATAGGTAGAGTGTTTTTCTACATTGAATTTATATGTTGTATAGTTGGTAAGAAGAGTTTTTTCTTTAACCAACCAAACAAGATTGGTAAGGAGAGGTTGAAGCATTCTTCTTGGATAGTTATTTTATAAATTATCATTATTTTATTTTTTTTGTTGACCTCTGGGAAAATAGTAATAAGCTCTGGTTTAAAATAGTTGTCTTTGTCAATAGTGACTCAGTTGCTTTCACATATTTCGTACGTTAAATTGGCTTGATCTGTCTTCCAGGATCCTGAGGGTCTTTTCCCGTGCATTCTTGGTCACGAGGCTGCTGGGTAGGTTGATCATACAGATTTCTTATCAGTGCTCATAGTTTTTGTTTCTTGTGATTGATGAGTAGGAATTTTGGTTGAACTTTCTGATCTCAGGATTGTAGAAAGTGTTGGTGAAGGTGTGACTGAAGTTCAACCTGGTGACCATGTCATTCCTTGTTACCAGGCAGAATGTAGGGAATGCAAGTTTTGTAAATCTGGAAAGACAAACCTATGTGGCAAAATTAGAGCAGCTACTGGAGTAGGAGTCATGATGAACGATAAGAAGAGCCGTTTCTCAATAAATGGAAAACCAATTTACCATTTCATGGGAACCTCAACATTCAGCCAGTATACAGTTGTACATGATGTTAGTGTTGCGAAGATTGATCCAAAAGCCCCTTTGGAAAAAGTATGCCTTCTTGGGTGTGGTGTTGCCACTGGTAAGAGTTCTTTATGCTTTCTCATTATTTCATGCATTTGCAGCTTCATATCATCTCAATAGACAAAACAATACTTGTCTCTTTGATGATCCATGCTTACTGTTTAGCCTTCCTTTTCTTTTGAAATCATGAAATTATGTAGTTTGCCCTCTGATTCTGTTGGTTGCTTTTAGGATTGATCTTACTTGTATGTGCATTTCAGATCTAATGGTTATGTTTCTTGAAGATTTCTACATTACCCATTTTTTGTAATGATTTGTGAGCTCATGGACTTCTTTCTTCCATTTCTTCTTTTTCTTCCCCCCTTTTTTTCTTTATAATTATTTATTATTATTATTATTATTTTTATTTTTATTATATTGTAGTCTTGTTCGTTTCTTCTTATGCTCTTTTATACTCTATGACAAGTTCTTAGTCTTTTTAAATTAGATGTGAATTTTTCAGTCTATTCTGGTTTAAAATTGCTGGTGACATTAGATGAGTGCTGGTTTAATAGTTTTATTATTGATTTCATCGTTTAACTCTGTTTCTTCAAGCCCTCAAGTGCTAGAAATCTTTTCCTTTCTATTGATTTATTGAAATGCAGAGGTATCCTTTCTCTGCTTTCCTGATATTCCACTTTTCTTCTATACTTTAATGGTAGTTTGATTGTTGCTTTTATTTTTGTTTTTTGGAGTTGAAAGAAATAAGAATTATTTAGATGTTGTCAACCATACACCTTTAAATTTATATATGTTTGGTGTCATGTATAGGTCTTGGAGCAGTCTGGAACACAGCAAAAGTGGAACCTGGATCTATTGTTGCCATTTTCGGCCTTGGAACTATTGGTCTTGCAGTAAGTGTTGAAAATGAACCTTCGTTCATTTTATGTAGTAATTTATTTAGGGTAGGAATAGCACCTTTTAGTTTCTACTCAGGTTTACTATTAATTGTCCAAATTTTCTTTTCTGCCATTATTGTTATCTTACTGATAACTAGGCTGTCATAGTGTTTCTTATTTTATTTCTCAACTTTATAGGTTGCTGAGGGTGCTAAAGCAGCCGGTGCTTCAAGAATCATTGGCGTTGATATTGACAGCAAAAAGTTTGACACAGGTACTTTTGTACAATGAAATTATAAACATTGATATTCTTGTAGTACAATCATCATACCTAAAATTTCTTAAAATGTTTGTCATTTTTGAAGTCTCTTCACCTGTCAAAGCTGGTAAAACCATAAAGGAGACCTGTTATATCCACTGGATTTTATCTAGAGATTTCTTTTGAAGGTTTTCCTTGATAATCATAGTTCTAGCATCATTCCAAGATTTCAATTAAATTATGCCCTTGGTGCTGCTCTTGGTAAACATGTGGTACTTTTTCTACTTCTAGTTATTTGTATTTTTGTATCTGCAACTTGCAGCAAAGAACTTTGGAGTGACTGAGTTTGTGAATCCAAAGGACCATGATAAGCCAATTCAGCAGGTTCTTGTTGACCTCACGGATGGTGGTGTTGACTACAGTTTTGAGTGTATTGGAAATGTCTCTGTTATGAGGGCTGCACTAGAATGCTGTCACAAGGTGAGAATTGCTGCAGCTTTTATATCATCCATGAATGTTATGGGTTGCTTCTAATTTGTATATCCTGTAAACTTTCAGGGCTGGGGAACATCAGTGATTATTGGTGTCGCAGCATCAGGACAAGAAATATCTACACGGCCTTTCCAGTTGGTTACTGGTCGTGTTTGGAAGGGGACTGCTTTTGGTGGTTTCAAGAGTCGTTCACAAGTGCCTTGGCTTGTGGACAAGTACATGAAGAAGGTAAAATAATTTGTAAATAAATCAAAATACAATTTTCTGTGAAGCACTACAGTAGCATATCATAATCACCCCTTCCGCCATGTTATGCAGGAAATTAAGATTGATGAGTACATTACCCATAATTTGACTCTTGGGGAGATCAACAAGGCCTTCGACCTCTTGCATGAAGGAAGTTGCCTGCGTTGTGTGCTTAACACAGAGGCATGACGTGATCTGCTAAGCAAAGGGGTGACCTGTTGAGAACAACTTTCTTTTAGTTGGGCATTTGTTATTGCCGCTATCGTGTGAAAAAGTACTGCTCAAACTTAAGCATATTTTGTTAATGTTGTCTGCATAAACTTAAGTTCATTTCAAAGCAGTTATGAAGTTTGCAGCATGGATGAAAAACTGTCATTAGTTTGAATAATTGCTAATATATTTCTTCTCAAAGGGGAAGTAGGTTCAAGTCCGACAACATTATGGTAAGAGAACAAGATTCTAGTTTGATTCAGGCATTCTATCCTTTCACACCTCAAATGGATTTTGTGACAAACGTGGCCTCAGTTTTAAGTCACTAACGTAGAAATGATGAGTCTGATTGTTGTCTCCACTCAAAAATCTCTTTACCTTGTGGCGTAGAAATATTCAGGCATGCCACAGCAAGAAATGATTGCAACCTCATTTCTTCCAACTTTCTAAGTTAGAAGGGGGTTGGATGAACAACATTTAAATGAAAAAAATAAAAACTAAAGAAAAAAAGGTGGTCAAAGATTGTAGCAGATATGGGGTACATTCTTGCTACAAAGTTCTAATGTAATTGCCTTCGAAGAATATCAGTCACTTCCCAATAGGAATTTTTATTTCAAGTCAATTGCGTTTCGACCAAATGAATGGGAAAGTTAAAAGACTACATTAACAAAATAAAAAAGTATGCTGCAGTTTAGATTGTACCAAACTGCAAAACAATAATCAATGGATTAAGGAAAGCCCTTGGTAATGAGGGAGGGTCCCTCCATCCAATGGAGACTGCAAAACACTAGACTTTTAACAAAATCGTTGCAAGGTCAAGGACTTGGCTGAACATTAATTAAATGAACCAGAATTTCATAATTTCGTTAAGAATGAAATTGATTATATTTCAGAAGTATGCACATATTA